TCTACTTGTGTTGGACACATTTTTTTGGAAAACTCTGTCAACACTACTAGCAAAAGTTCACGGAACTTTGCACGAAAGTTAAGTTCCGTAAACCTATCTCCGTGTGGACAAGGCCTTCCATTCATAAGAAATGAACGAAAAAAATATGAAAGAACAAACATAAATGTAGTTTAATGATTTTAACTTCCGCCGCCGTGCCGCGCTGACCACACTGTGTTTGGCGCAATGCGTGAAGTATTCATGTAGTCTTGTAGGCACTAAGCGTTTCACGCTGACCGCACCGTCTTTGGCGCAATGCGTGAAGTATTCCGACAGTCTTGTAGGCGCTAATATGTGTTACATGCCGACCGCCGCCGCACAGTGGATCCAGTCAATAGGAGAGGTCGGACAAAATTTGGAAACTTTAAACGCTTTTAACTCCGTTTATACAAATCTTGGACGTTCTAAAAGTGGTTCCGGTGGTTTTCTCATGAAATTTTCTTGCAGAAGCACCCCTTGGAATTTAAAATATGACGGTATAAACATCAGGATTTGCTGTTTCAGTAAACAATTTCATGTCCGACTTCTCTAATTGACTCAATCCACTGTGCGCCGCGCCGAGGGCTTCTCCTTTTCATCTCAAGTCCTCGTCATCATTTCTCTCTAAGTCGCACCACCAGGCCAAATTGCGTGTTAGGTATCTCTCTTAACTCGACTAATTAAAGGTGCGCTGTCTCATGTATCACTGAAAGACGACGAAATTAGAAATTACTATACTCTCCGGAAATGATAGATTTTGTTGCCTTTTCTCCTTTGTAATTTTTTTTCTCTAAATTCGATTTTTTCTATACCTACATTTTAAAAAATTGCAAAATTTGCCGCATCCTAGATTTGCCGCCATGGGCCGCGGCCCATGTGGCCATCCCCTTAATCCGGCCCTGATCTGGGCATGTTTTATTTAAACCGTTTCTGATTTTTGCATGAAATCTGAAGAAAAATCAGTGAAATTTCAGTAGCAAATGCCAAATTTTCTCCTGGTTTATAAGCAATTTGCGATGGGAAATTTGACAGCATTGAACTGGAATCACGTTCTCTCGTGAGGGAAACGACGGATATCGCTGACCAGTGGCATAGCTAGGAATTCTGTTTGGGGGGGGGGGGGCATTCAAAGACGTGACGGTAAATTTACATTATTTTGTGTACTTTTCTGATAATATTTTATGTCTGCCCTCCAAAAGTAAAAAAAAGTTACAATTAACGCTCGGCTCAGGGGGGTGCAGCCCCCCTGAACCCCCCCCCCACCCCCTTGTCTACGCCACTGTGTTGCTCAAAGGGATATACTTATACAATTTTTTTCGGTGTCACGTAAACGGATTTGAAATGCAATATGATGTAGGCGGCTATTTTAAAAAAAACCGGGATCCATTTATAGAATTCGCTATAGACGGGTAGACCTGGGCAGCGGATGAATTTCGCTAGGTAGGAGAGGTGCGAGGCAGGAATGGTCGCGGGTGGCAGGCGCGGGTGTTTGCGGAGCGTTTAGCTGGAACCCTTGGCGATCGCGTGCTAACAACTAATTGGCAATCCGGCAGAAAAGCAGGACATTGTGTGTCCTTACACTGTATGACTTACTCGTATGTGGGACGAACACGAGCATGTACATGCTTCATGGGCTTGCACGGGACGTTACCGTGTTTTACCGCCGAGTCCTCAACACTCAGCACTCAACGCCAAGGGCTTAACAGTCAACGCAACGCCGGCGGGGGACGGGGATGGGGGACAGGGGCCCCTTTCAGACGGTGTGGTGTCGGGAGTCGCTGTAATTATTTCCAGCTAAAAATAGAGTGGAGAAACAACGCAGTTGAAAGCTCGGCAGGAGGCTCCGGCTCCAAATCACCGATCATCATTTTCTCCACGAATGGCGCATCGACTCCTTTCCACGGTGAAATTCGCATCCACCTGTCCCCCGGGAAAAATATAGGTGTTGTCCATTTTGCCAGTGCTGCCATTTCCCGGAATTAATTAAGACTTTTCAAATAATCGGATTTTTTTCCTGGAATCTTCTGAATCCCCATAATTCTCAGCTATATTCGGAATTTTCTAGAAATTTGCGGTTTTTTGCCAATTTGACCATTTAGTTGATCAAATTTAGGGACTTTGTGATCAAATTTCACGATCGCGGAACTAAATTCGGGCGTATTTCGGAATTTTTCCCCGGAATTTTTGATAAAATCGGAATTTTTCCTGGGAGCTTTGGCATATTGGAATATGTTTCCGGAAATCGGCATTAATTCGGAATCTTTTGATAAAATAAAATGGCAGGTTTGCATTTTGCGAATTGCAAATTGCCCCGCTCAAGGTTTGTAGATTCATGGGTGGACTCGCCCGGGGGGCTGGATGGCGGTTATTCCTCAAATTTTCACCGAAAGAACCCTGAAGGAACATCTCTCAGAACTTGAGAGGCATCTTTTGAATCTGTCCTTCCCCCGTTTATCAAGCAAGGTCTCCGATCAATTTTTCGGCGAATACCACTTCACCACTACCAGCCAGCCAGCCCTGGATAAACTTTTTCCTAAGACAATTCTGCATACTAATACTTGAGACAGTCACTCGGTAGTTGAGTTATAGTTTAGAGTGAGTATATGACCACTCGAAGACCTCATTCTGATTGGCTCAGCCATCTCAGGCTTCATGGATCTCTGGGAACCAAAAGAAAGGCGAACATTGCATGCAGAATTGCAGATGATCTAAAATGACAACAAGTTAGATTTTATTCGCTTGTGTCACCGCACCTTGAACAATTCTATGAAAATTGATGTTCATAACTCGATTAGCCCCATTAAATGGAGGCTTTCTGTTTTGATCATGTACGCTTTAAATACTCTCTCTTCCTTTTACCACTTATATGCTATCAATTGCACAAAGAAAAAGTAAACGATTTCTCTTAGTTTTTGAAATTATTTCGTACCTCTTCACAGTTTTTAAGCTCATTTGAGTGGCTTGGAGGACAAGGCGCATAGGTGCAGTTTTTGAAAAAATTGAGATATTTATGAACTTAACTAAAACTAGTTTGAAAGTATTTTCTGTGAAAATTCACAACTGAAATCCAACATTAAATCATCAAAAAATGAGTTTAAACTTTCTTTGCGTCATAAGGCTCCAAGTATAATTTTGAAACTTTAAACATGTATTTATTATTGCAACAGCAAAAACTTCACTTAGGCGCCTTGTCCTCCAAGTCCCTCATTTGAAAAGTACTATGACTACACGTTGTAGAGAAATTTTGGAATAATTAAAAGCCTTTATTGCTTTGGTTTAAACATTATCCTCCAATAGGAGAGAAATCTTTTGGGGAACCTGTTGATTCTTCTCATTAACATTGTTCAAATGGGAGAATTTACAACAATATCACGAAGAATAAAAAACCTGCATCAGTTTTCCAAAATCTGAATGTAGCGGGCTCATTTACGGACTGTAATCAGTCGATAGCCGCAAAAATAATGTAAATTAGCGCTGTACAAAATTAAAACGAACTGTGACAAAAAATGAAAATTTCAAGGGTCAAGGAGCCTATATAAATGATGGACTTATTTCACACCTAGAGGATATTACATCAACAATCATTTTTGCCATCTTTCATCTAAAAGAGAGTCAGGATCTGAGAGAGGAGAGTTATTGGTAGTTAAATCGATTTTCTCCGGGTAGTGAAAAGAGGATACAAGGGTAACTGATACAATCAGCTGCATTCCTGTTGTGAATCCAATGACCCCCTGTAATGAGGCATGAGGACATCTGATAGGCGTGACTGATCGGAAAAGCAAGTACACGCCCTACTGCCCAACTTGATTTTTTTCGCATCTCATTCCATCCGAACTTTTACTAGAATAACTCTGGATTGTTTACCTATTGAAGGTTTTTGGTAAAGGCTTTAAAAACCCACAATATCACCCTGAGATAAATATTATTTCGAATTGCGGCATTGATAATGATGTACATTTGCTTTTGCTTTTCTTTCTAATGCAGAGAAGCAAGAGTTTTTGATTTTTTTAAATGTTTTATGACCTTCCTTTCTACCGAAAATCATCCTCTAAAACTTTTATGGGCAAAAGTTACTTACTTCTCTTGAAAAAAAAAATCAATACAATAGGCATGAAACACCGCAATCGAGGGATCAGTTTTTTTGGCTTCCACTTTATTAACGTGAAATAGAGCAGTCTCTTCAGAAGGGATGAAAAGGGTGCATTTTTGTCATGAATACCCACGTAGTAGAATGAGAATAACTTAAACCCTGCATTGAGTCAAGCATCAAACTTGATTGGGCGGTAAAGTATAATATTACTTTGCAATAGCGGAGTGCAGGTAAGTGAGGAGGTAATTATGAACAGGGCTAATCAAAATTGTGCAAGTTATCATTTTTACAGCAAACGTTGTAACATAAAGCTCTGAGAGATTTTCCTTCAAATTAGATTGATTTGTTCGAGCCGTTACGATGGATCTGGAACTCTGTGCTTGGATTAAGCAAAATTAGTGGATTGCACAATTTTGGAAGACCTTCAACACGAATTTTTCTTACCCCCTCTTTCCCTTGTTCTTTCCCATCTAACTTGCCTGCAACACGGATCCTATACCCCATGATAAGTTACTCGCTTAGTAAAAGAATGCGGCACTTAAGTTTCTCCTCCCTTACAAGGTCATGAAATGGTGCTGAGTCCACACCATTTCGCGGGGAAAACAAAGCCGAAAAGTTCCACAAATTCCAATCAGATATTTCAATTGAAATTAGAGTACACACAGTTCGGGCCATTTCTTAGTGTTTTTTCTCGTTTCTCCTATTTTGCCACACACATTCTGGCCTTTACTTCCTACAAACATTGCTTTGAAACACCTAAAACTTTAGAGCGTCATTATCGACTTCAATGGACATACTCAAAAAACCCAGAGGCTCTGATTCCCCTGGTCGATGTCTCTAGACTAGTACAGTAGTATACCTACTGTAATTAGTGATAAGGAATATAACTTACTTTCAAAGGTATCCGAAACAGGCACACAATTTCACTTTTCACAAGGAGCACACAGGTGGACCGATCGTCGGAAAAGCGACACGCACCAAAGACAGGGGGCCGAACCGAGGGAGAGAGGTACGAGAGCGGATAGAGATGGCGATAAGATTGATAAGGTGATAGAGGTTGGGCGATTCGTCGGACTGTCGGGCAATGACGGTTCACGATTCGGACTCGGGCAGCGGCGCTGAAGACGACCGACGTCAGCGAGAGAGACAGAGAGAGACGGCGAAGTCAAAATTGACGAACGGGGATTGGCGTTGTCGCGAGTAATGGAACTCACCTTGAAATCCGAGTGACGCAACGTTGACCTCACACGGCCGCGAGCCGCGAGCCGCGAGCAAGGCGCTGCCCGGTCGCCGCGATCAGCGGGAGCAGCCGGCACGCTCCGAGATGACAACCGCGGTGCTCCTGGAGAGCTGATTGCGAGTTTAATGACAATTCAATTAGCGCGGGTCAACTTTCGTTAACCTTAAAAATGGAGTTTTCGCGGGGCAGCGCCGCGCGACGGCGACGGCGCGGGAGACGGCGGACGGAGCAGCGCGCGCCGTTGGCCCGAATCGATAGATTGATTTCCTTTTCGTCTTCCCGCCGCGGCCGTCGTCGCGGCGCTCGCCGACGACTCGCGGGCCCTGCGCCAGCGCCGACCCCACCGCCGCCCCCGCCCCACACCCCGCGTTATCACCCCTTTCATTCAGGCCGAAAACCATACTCTCACCGTGTTTTCCACGCACCCCCCGGCAGTTTTGATAGTAGTTTTTCTTACTTTTTTTGTTATTTTTCCCCACTTTTATATTTTTTTATTTTTTTCTCCTCATCATTTTTTCCTGTATTTTATTTTTTCAATTTATTCGTTTTTCCTTTTTTGCTATGTTGTCCATATTTTGTCCATTTTTCGTCTATTTTTGTCCATTTTTAAATTTTTTCTTTTCTTCTATTATGTTTCATATGCACCATGTGTTAATTTTTTCCTTTTCCCCCTTTCCCTCCCTTTTCCCCCTTCTTCCCCTTTTCCCTCTTTCCTCCTATTTTTCCTTTTCCCCTCTATTTTCCCTATTTTCCCTATGTTCCCTATTTTCCCTATTTTCCCTATTTTCCCTATTTTCCCCATTTTCCCCATTTTCCCTACTTTCCCTAGTTTCCCTCTCTCTCCTTTTCCCCGTTTATCCTTTTTTCTTTTTTTTTCTTCTTTTATCTTTTTTTCTTTTTATGTACCACAGACGTTCGTCAATCGACTCTCTTTAGGAAAGAAAACCCAATGCTGGGTGAAATGAGTGAAAGCGACTTCTTGTGTTGGATCAGATAGATCGCGTGAATCCGATCCAGTGGATGTGTATTTTTCCCGTAAACTCGATTCGGGTTTCTGGGGTATACTAAACGGATTGTCGATGCTCACCGGGGTCATTGTTGGGATTCAAGAGGCGAATTTTCGCGAGTAGATTTGGAAACTACTGGAGAAAAACACTCTGATGAAGTGAAGAAGTAAACTCAGCTGCATGATGAATTTTGGTCAACATTTTGCATCCATCCACTTTTCAACCACCTCTTTCAACCACCTCGGGAGGTGGTTGAAAAGTGGAAGGATGCAAATGTTGATGCAAATGCTTGGCTCTGTTTGGAGAGGTGCAGCTCTTTTGTTATATTTCACCGGTCAATGGAAAAAGACGAAGACAACGACAATGAAAAAGAGAGAGTAATACAGAGACGAAAAAAGCAACAGATTTGCGGGAAAAGAGAAAAGGGACCCACGAGAATTATTGAAATGTTCTCTATTATGTATTTACAGCTATACTTGTTATTTCTTCGTGTAAGTGGATGTGAATATTTTTAGATCTCGTGGAAAAAGGATAATTTATTGAGAAATTCAAAAGCAAAAACTGCCTGGCAATTGTAAGTCGTTCGCTTCATTTTAATCTGTGAGTATAAAAAAGACACCTTCTTCGACTTTCTTCTAATTTTTTTATGACTGAATTACAGTCGATTCTATACGATTAAAGTACTCGGCATTCGTATTCAACTTAGGACTAAACAAAGTCAACAGAGAGAAACGAGGTACTTCATAGAAAAGTTGACAAGCGTATAAGTATTCTCTCTTGGAAGTTATCCTTGACATTAGCCGAGTCTGGAAATCCAAATTAATTGTCTTTGTTTACAAATAAACGCGCTTATTCGAAGATAGATCATACCGTCTAAGCACGTGTGCATCTTGGGTTGGGTCCATTTCAAACACAGGCTTTGGCATTCATTCATCCGCAAAAAGTACTCGGAAAGAAATTTATGACCACAGTTCTGCTCTCACTTTTGTTTGAGACTTCCTCTAACAATAAGTCCAGAGGCGTGGCGTGCTTTGTGATCTATCGATTGATCTGCGATTTAGACCTATGGAAAACCTATGGACCACTCCCGCCAGCTCCTTCCCATTGAAGATCTTACAAAACGAAGTAAAATACAAGAACATCATACAGTGGTGTGGAGTGCTACTCGATATATCGATTTATTTGCCATCCCTGGTAAAAATTGGCAGTAGAATCTATGTTCCAAAATACCATAGACCTACAGCCGGCTGTAAGATTTCCAATAGCTTCTATATAGCCGATATAGCAACAGCCAGGCGATAAAGTGTATGCTAAGCGTTACTAATTACGGATGCTAGGAATTAGTGAGTTTTTGGGATACTGCTCTCTTTTTGGACCGTAGTATCTTGATTTATTCTGTGAGGAAAGCTCCGTACTTTTGATGGATGCCTGCCATTACTAATATATTAGAGCGCCCTCAGTTTCATATGATACTGTGCAATACCTCTGGTGTGAAATAGTTGCTTCAAGCGCCATGGCACGCTGCGGCACGGCAGGCGAGCAGCCAGTGCGAAACTCGCATTGGCGCCTACAAACCTAACAGGGATACTTCACGCGTTGCGCAATGCGTGAAGCATCCCTATTAGGTTTGTAGGCGCCAGTGCGTCGCCGCTCCGCTTTGTGTTAGGCTCTAACATTAATCTGGCGGAGTCAGCGTTATTCAACTCATGATTTTGAAATTTTTGCACATCCTGTATGGATTATTCTCATTTTAATTGATGAAAAAAAATATGTATTAAAGGAAATATAACGTGCGTTTTGTAAATATTATGGTGGTTCCGTATCAAACTTAATGATTTCCAAAGCACACGAATTTCTACACAATTTCCTATAGCCTTTTATAATCGATGGCGAAAAAGCAACAGCCAGGCGATAAAGTGTAAAGCCCGGCGATAGGAACTATAGCCCGGCTGCATAATTTTTTATCGCTTCGTATAGCCCGGCTGTATGATTTTCTCCGCATTCTACAGCCAGCTATATGATTTTCTGTAGCCATCTTTAGCCGGCTATAAGAATTCCTATGGTATTTTGAAACGCAGCTCTTATCGCCAATTTTTACCAGGGATTTAAACCTGTGGAAAAGAATCAATAAACAGGGCGTTCGCACTGAACATCTTAATAATTGATTCTTCACCGTAGCTTCAAATGGGGAAATGTCGATAATCGATCACTCACGCTTAGCCACTGAATAAGTCATCATGATTTTAAGAGCTCAAGGAACAACTTCAATCGTGCATATGTAGTTTTAGGAGACAGTATAGTATTAGTATTGCGATTGAAGAAATAGAAATGTTATGGAAATGGACGAGTGCTGAAGTTTCTGCATTGCGCGCTTACCAAGGTTTGAAAAACGAGCGAGGAAGTTACGTTAAATACTTTTCCACATTCACTCTCAGGTTAAACTATCTTACTCCGAATAGAAGCGACTTCCGAAGCCTAGATTTTCGCCGCAAGAATTCGATGCATAGTCGTTTGAGAGACCACTTGATTTATGCCTCTATAGATAGTTAAGAGTTTTAGAAACTACGTTGATACCCGATGAAAAGGTTCGTGCCTCCTGTTCTCGTGTATAATGTTGAACCGATCGGAAAGTCTGGAGGAGGTCCTGTTAGAAAGCGAGGTATTTCTGTAGAATTTGGCCATGGCAATTTTCCAGCTGACCCTTCCGTTTTCTCCACCCATTAACCTTTGAGTTCTCTGTACGGGTCGCCAGGCACGGATGCTATGTGTCTGGAAAAGTCCTTAACGTCCCTCGCCTGTGCCAGGAAAATGAGCTATATTCCACCTATTTAGTTTTTTTTTTTTTTTTTTTTTTTTTTTTCATTTTTTACACAGCATTATTTCTCACTCCAAGTACATGCATTGAGAAGCTGATCAGGCAAGGCTACTAAATTTTCACTCTTTTAAAAGTTGATTTTGTGAATAAGACTCAAGCGGATATTGTTTATTGTTTTCCTTGCCTGTTTTTATTTCTGTCACCTGACGAAGAGCACCAATGCAATATTTCAACGAGAAACTTTCATTGAAGCTGTGAATTTCAAAAAGAATAGAGGCTACGCTTAAATTTTGAAGGCATGTGATTATATAAATTGATCTATGATATGATGATCTGCATGTGATCTTTAGTCTGAAGTCGAAACTTACCCTCCTAGTTTTGAAACATTGCCAAGTTAACATGATGACAAGGGTAATTTTTTTCCGAATTTGCGGAAATCTTTTCAGCAAATACAATCAAATAAATGCATTTGATACAAAATATACTTACAAGAAAGCATTTGCCTGTTAGTAGTGTCTACTTTTTTGCGAGTTTGAGGGCTGGCAATCTTGTGATACATTTATATACATTTCTCGGACGATTGACAAATTGGAGATGCATAATCATTAATGATTTCCTTCATCGGCACAATATAAGCAACGTTGGAATTACGTTAAGATGTAAGAGGAATAATCAAAGCTCCAGCTATAAGTTCGTATATTATGGTTTCGCATGCAATGGAAACTTGAAAAATTTCATTTTAACGCCTGGATGCGACTATTCGAGTTCTATGGATGTCCGTGTTGCATACGCACAGGGGTGAAGGCGTTTTAACTTCAGACACTGACTGCCTTACCAGTGGCGCTCAGTGGAGCGAGTCAATGAGGGGAGTCGGGCATAGTGTGGAAAGATTAAAATCTCATGTTGGAACGTAGAGGTTTATGAAGTGATTCCATTGATTTTCTCATAAAATTTTCTACCAAAGGCACCCCATACGATTTAAAATGTGAGTAGATCAACATGAAAATTTGCGGTTTTAGTCGAAAATTTTATGTTCAACCAATCGGAGAGGCTCGTTTCATTGTGTGGTGGGTGTTAACTGCATGAATCTAAAATGACGGGGTGCCTTCAATTCTTCATTTATACTTTGAAGACATCTCTCAAACATGAACAAGTTCAGGACATCGCGATATAAAAACTTAAGCACAAAAGCTACTTAAGTACTACGCCTGTATGCAACTATTCGTACTTATGAGTTACTTTTGTAGTATTAACGAAGATATCAAAACGTTCTACCATTTTGGATCCTCGCAATCCCGCCGTTGGCACCGCGCCGCGGGCCGCGGGAAAAGTGATGAGTGCCTGGATGGTCAAAACGCC